GGACTTTGTTTCCTGCAAGGCGATTACGTGGTAGTTGATGCGCCCTGCAGCTTCGAGAAGGGCGTGAAGAGGCATTGTTGAAGACTGTCCTGACGTTGTAGGTGCAGAGCATGAGACAATCTCCATGGCGAGTCGTTGAGGTGTCCTTTTCTTTCAAAATCCATGGCGTCCTGTGCAACTTGACACTGGTCTTGACATCCGACGCCGTAGATGTGATCCAGTGTGCAGGGCTTCTTTTCCTATTACATGCAGTAAGGGCAATGAGTAAAGTAATCTTTTCAAACACTAGCAGTGCCTTGTCAGGGTCCTGCCATGCTTTCACCACAGGCAATCGCTGACCTTATGTGGATCAGGGAGACATGTGCCACTTAGCGACTGAATCAGCCAGACAGTGGTACTTCTGGCATGGCCTACTTTTAGCTGGGCATTCGGGAAACCGGAAACGCCGAACTCCTTCTCAGCTTGGAAGACCCTGCTGGAGGATAAACCTCCGCTGCACTTCGCAGTTCGACACCCAGAGTCACCCCCGCGCCACGATGAGGCGGTAGACCATCACGAGGGAAATCATTTATTAATCTCTATGAATATTTCTATCATATAGAACGGCAAACAATCATATTTTGAAGTCATACAGATCTTACCTCATGACTCCTCTATTCATAAAACTACTAAAATTAGATTTTTCGAGTGATGTTTCCTTTAGGTCTACCACCCCACATATTAGAATAGAAATAGACTATGAATAGATTATATGAGATTAATGGAATAATTCATAAACCACTTGTGGCGAGGTGGAGTATAGGCCTGATGACCTGCAGAAAAATCAGTCCTAACAGATTTATGTATACCAAAAATTAATCGGATCACTATAGTATATTCACTCGTTCACTTATGTTAATTTTTATGAATTAGTTCCCATAGTCTTCTAGCTTCTCACCATTTCCAGCGAGTTCACTCGAGCCACCTACAATAACTTCTCGAGAGTTGGATGGGCTCTAGCAGTATCATGGGTCATTGTGGCGAATCATCTCGGATGGGGAGGTAAGCATTATTTTTAAGAAATAACAAGAAAACCAGAATTGTCATACAGAGAAAGTCTTTTGATAACATTTTGTCATTGTGTTTACAGTAGCGTCAATGTTCACGAATAAATTTATATTATCGCTTAAATAGCAGAATACTTCCTTCAAACCTGCCCTTCACTCTAAAAACATTAGAAAACACCATTTTTGATAAATTATCAGTATTTTACAGGACCTATTGCCACTTTTATGGATCATCCCCTATGGAAGCCATTGGGAAGATTGTCATACTGTGGATATATTGTACATTTCTTTGTGATCCACTATGTTTTCAACCTCGATGATAGACCAGCGCATTACGTTTCCATATGGCAAACAGTAAGTTTACCATACAACTGAGAAATGACATACGATCAAAGCTAAAGTGACCTTGCTTTCAGTATGTCTACAGAGTGATTCCCATCATTGTGCTATCGTACATATTTGCATTTATTTGGAGCTGCCTTTTCGAAGGTCCTATTATAAAACTGGAGAAGATACTGTTTGAAAGCATCTCACCGACAAGGAGTGAAACTAAACCAAAGCGTTTCGTAGACGAGAAGAAGAATGAAGTGATATACGCTTACAACAATCAGCCACAGTTGACAGCGTATCGTATCAGGCTGTGAAATCACAAGTTTTGAAGATCTCTTTCGTGTATAAATTGTTTGTACTTATAAATTTTATTTGCCTACAACTATGTCTGTGATATATCGATGCTGATATCGGATTGTGTCTTTTGTTGTATGAGATGTATAAAAATCATTTTTTTGTTGTTCAAATTTTGGAAATCTACTGTAAAAATCTACAAATCACACCAATCTGCGTATATCTATAGGTA